TCATGAAACTTTAGATCCAAGACTTGGGATGTTGTCTATGGGTGTTCGAGATGTTGCTGGTATCGACAGTAGGTTAAACAGCGCTGATTTAAGATGGAGGGGATCTCCGATGGACACTCTTTCGACCACTGGTCAGCCGGTGCTAAATTTTAACTTGTTTTCTTCACAGAACGGCAGAGAGATATTCGGCTACAGTGGTAAGTTGTTACAGTGTTTCCGTATTGTTTTAATTATTTATACACAATATTTCACTAAATGTCATTCGACTGGTAATGTTAAAATGTGAACTATCATTTCAGATGCATCATGAAAGTAGAAATTAAATTGTAAAACAATTTATGTAGACACCGATAAAATACTGAAGTGACATTATATACATATTTGTGTATGGGTATGTAATTGTTTCTGTATATGTGCGTGTATTATTAGTTGGCTGCGTATCCTTTACAGGACGTCGCAGAACCGACCCCAACATTTGTTGGATATTGACTTTAACTAGGCAATTTTTTTCAGTGGTTTGCCATTGCTGATGAATGGACGACTTTCGATAATTAACACTGTCGAGACCAACGCTAAACGGTCTGCTGCCAAATCGCCAGCCGCCCAAGACTCAGACGCCGACAAACGTCTAATTAGAACCAAAATAGTTTGCTACCTTCGACCACTGTGAAATATACGTAACCAAATCCCACAGCCTGGTTTTATAGAACAGTATCAAACTAAAGCAGAAATTGGAAGATTGAACAATTCAGTACTCGCTGGGGAAAAAACCTATACAACTATGCAATTTTTTCAGTGGTTTGCCATTGCTGATGAATGGACGACTTTCGATAATTAACACTGTCGAGACCAACGCTAAACGGTCTGCTGCCAAATCGCCAGCCGCCCAAGGCTCAGACGCCGACAAACGTCTAATTAGAACCAAAATAGTTTGCTACCTTCGACCACTGTGAAATATACGTAACCAAATCCCCCAGCCTGGTTTTTTAGAACATTATCAAACTAAAGCAGAAATTGGAAGATTGAACAATTCAGTACTCGCTGGGGAAAAAACCTACACAATACTGTTTTTAAAACTATACAATAATGTTTATAAAACAATACAATAATTTTTTAATAATAAACATTAACCATGGATTGTAACTTGTTAATTTGCAGTATCCGTACCAATTGTGTAGGCCTAACTGCTTAAATCCCGACCCCAGTGATTAACAAAACAAGTTTAGTTATCATTGGTCGTGGAATTTTTTCTGGACTTTCGATCACGCCCAATTTTGTCCTAAATGTCATGAAGTTACAAGACAGCTAGAGAAGTAAGCCCATAGTAGTAGGCTTTAAATTAGTTGATTTTTGCTGACCATAAGTCCTCCTTTGCAAAGATACGGATAACCTTCAACATCACATATAAGTCTCAGTACCTGTTGGAAGAGATACAACACAAAATTAATACTGGAAAAAACAGAAACAATAATATAGTAAACAGAAAACCAATCTGAAACGAAGGAGAGTCTTTAAAAGAAACAAAAGAATTTAAGTATCTATGCAGTATATTCACTGGGGATGGAGGATTGGACAGAGGAATTAACAACATAATTAGAAGGCTCACAATTAAAATTACCAAAAAGCGCTACTTTTGAGGCATCAGAATAACATACACACACAAAAGCAGCTCATAGATGCAAGATTTGTACCAGCTCTGTGCTATCAATGCTAGACATGGACAATCCCTGCAAAGCACACGGAAAATTACATGTGAGACGATATATATATATATAAGAAATGTGGAAATAAAAACAGGAAGTAAGTGTAACCAACCAAGAATTAAGAACAATAGGAAGCAGATTTTAGGTAAATGATTTCATAAAACATTGAAGAATCAAAAGGTTTTGTCATCAGGTCAGAATGGAAGAAACTCAACCAGCAGCTAGAGAGCACTAGGCAACAGACCGACCAAGAAAGAGATGGGTGGAAGGAGTACAAGAAACACTACAGAAATACAGCATTATTACAAACTACGCAACAGGCTGTCGGTGTTTGTGGCTTAGGCATTGCGAACGTGTTTCGTAATGCCAGTGTGCCGGGTTCGATCCCAGCTGTGGGCGAATTGTCTTGCGTAGGTTTCGACAGTTGTATCGAGTGCTGAAGGAAACAATGACAAACTACCGAACGTAACATTTGCCTAGAAAATCCGCAATAGTCAAAATATTATGGGGCTGGTTCTGCAACGCCCTGTAAAGGATGCGCGACTAACTAACGCAACAGGCTAAAGACAGGAAGCAACATCTAATTCTTCTCTGCGACGCTTTGAAGGCATAGGCAGTAGGGCAAAAAAAAAAAAAGGTTGAGATTTTAGATTTGAACAACGGATCAACATCATAGCACTCCTGTAGTAACCCATAAATGTTCCGTTCTTTTTCTAACTCAAGTCTGTAGCACCAGCGAAAAGGCAAAAAGAAGAAGACGAGATGTAACACTGGAAGGAGTTTCCAACTGTCGAGTGAAACATCTAGACTACCTAAGAATACTTTAAAGTTCTCAGAAGAAATATTTATTGGCAGTTGCTTGTGCGATGGTACAGTAGTGTTATTTGGTAGTCATAGTGATGTGATTTAGTAGTTAACACAGGACCTCATTTTCTGCGTTCAACTTTACAGATAGATAGCACGCTGTGTTGCAGTTAACAGATATACTGCGATATTTACCCCTTTTCGCCCAACACATCCGTCCTAACTAACAAACATGTAATTCGGGGGAGCCGAGTGGTCTCGAGGTATGGTGTCCGCATCGAGTTCTGGAGGTCCCGGGTTCCAGCCCCGGTAAAGGCTGGGATTTTTTCATGTGGACGTCTAGTAATATACACTGGTCTCTAGGTATTTAGACCAGACGCTCGTGAAAAATGCCTTGGCAGTTGGAAATCGAGAAAAGTAGCCCAGGCAAAAGTTTAGAGTTAAAAATCTACCCAAAGTATTTCAGGATCCTCGCCGGTGCAACGGAGTTCGTGCACTGTTCTGAAATTTTAAGACTCAGGCTTGGGTTAAAAGTATGACGAAGCACTTATGGGTTGCACCCGTGTGCCAGAGAGTTGATCCGTTGACTAAACAATCAAACATTTAATCATTACCATTAACGTCATGTTTACTATTGGAGTAAATCTATTTTCTTCCCCTGCCCCCACCTTCCTTTTCCCCCTGGGAGTCCGGAACTCAGGCGCGATAACACATAGCACATTGTCTGGTGTGTGATTGTCTTTCCTTTATTGTGCGAAGCATTGTGGTAATTCATCAGCCTATCTTAACAGACTAACTGTTGAGTTTTGAAGTTCCGGTCAAATATTGATTTAAGGTTCTCTGTACCCATATGCTTTTAACTGTAAAAATAAATTTTCTAAATCTCAATCAATTATAATAATAGAGTGCACAAATTAGTACTAAGAAGTATGCTTTTTGTACTATATTTTACTCAGCCACAGAAGTGTAGCGGAGAGACGCTGGTTTGTGGGTGAGAAGAACGTGGGCTTAAGTCGGCGTGGTGAGGGATATTTGTTCAAACGACCTAGGTTCCCAGGTCGATCCAGCCGTGCCTGGGTACCAGTTGAAGTCCTGGGAAGTAAAGAAGGCCGTGTGATATTGACCACATCACCTACCGAGTGCAGATTGGTATAACATTATAGGCCCAAGACTTATATGCCCAAAACGCCTAATTGCATAGAAAAGGCTCCCGTTACTATTGTCTACTGCAGTCAGTCGTTTTATTCACGACTGTTTGTATCTACCGCTTTTTAGAGCAGTGTAGACGGTGGAGAGGGAGGGGGGGGGGTCCTCCTAAGGATTTAGGGCCTCATGGATAGTGCTGTGGCCACGGACTGTGCATGTTAGGATGTTTTATTTTGACTCTGATATAAAAACTCCGAACCATTATATGGAGTCCGATATGAGACCCCGTATCGGAGACCAGTATCATTACCGCATGATTAACCACTCCTACTTAATGTACGGTTTTATTAAACCATCATTTATGGTTAGAGAGCCGACGTGGTTCAGTGGCTAGACGATTACCTGAGGATCGGAAGGTCGAGTATTCGAGTCCAGCAGATGCCGGATTTCTTTTTCAAAAATGAATTGACTAATAGCGTCTAGCCGTTTCCAGGTTGACTCAGCCTTGAGTGGGTGCCACGTATCGTCCTGGGAAGTAAAGGCGGCGGGTGTGATGTTGACCACAACACTCTCACCGAGTGCTGAATGGTCTATAAAATATAGGTCTAGCCTTGTAGGCCCAATACGCCTGTAGGCGTAGAAAATGGGTTTTCGCTTCACTTCTATTCTATGTGGAATGTTAGATTTGTGTCATATTATTGTTAACTTCTTGAGACTCAGTCAGTGTCAGTATTGAAGTAAACTTTCCAGGGTTAGAAAGGTCTTTAAATTCGTCACAGCACGAAAACGCAAAATTTTTCTATAGCAGTAATAATAGAGAAATAGAATAACTGCTTTAAAAAAATGTAAACATTTTTTTTTTAATATTCAGAAACCATGTGTTGTTAACCCTTGTGCTCGGTACTATAGATATCGCAACCCTTGGGCCTTGATTCCATAATAGATACCACAAATATGGGAGAAATATGGCTTTTCTGCCTACCCCGAGCGTGAACCCGGAACACAAGGAGTTCGTCACCAGCTCTCGGCGCAGTCATGTTTTAATAACTGAGCTAGCGAGCCGGGCGCAAGATGCACATTAATAATAGGATAATGCATTACAGAAAAATCAGGCGTTTTATGTGCCGATCGGCCTTACAGATCTAAAAAATTTTTTTTTATATACAGCCCGTTGTTTCTTCACCTCTCAGTTAGTCAATATAAAACCTTTTAAAGGGCAGTGAAAAAACAAAGCACCCAAACCAACAGGTGGATTATTATTATACTAGTAACCACCATTAATATCCTTTAACTCACTATTATAATGTAATATAATCTAATGTTATTAGTTTCTATCATTACCACATTATGGTCTGCAGTTCATGTTCTGTAGTAATCTGTTACTTGACGTATATTTTAGATGTCAGTGACAAAGACTGCGGTGAAAGCCCTGATTTTGATCATCTACGTTTGTCAGGGCAGAGCAAAAAGAAGAAAAAGAAAAGAAGACACAGGTGAGTTTATAAATTTCCAATGTTTCATTACATCTTGCGAAAGAGTGTGCCCGTCGGTAGCGGAGATGTGGGGTTGAGAAAGATGCAACGGATATTATGGGAGGATGAGAAATGCATGAGGCATTCCCTCTTAAAACAGATGAAAGATGATTCTGAGTTAGAGAAATTAGACGTATAAAGCGGATATTATCTGGATATCTGACCTGTCCGTCTTTCCAGACGATAGGGTTACATTGATCAATGAGATGGGTGTGAAGTCATGTTAACTGTTGTAAGTGAATTTGCTGTTTGTTTGTTTGTTTGTTTGTTTTAGTATCTGGAAGCCATGAGTTGTTAACCCTTTGGCTCTTTATTATGGATATCGCAACCTTTCGGCCTTGATTCCATTGTAAATACCGTAAATCTGGGAGAAAATGTGGCTTTTCTGCCTACCTCCAGGAGTGAACCCGGACCACAGGGAGTTCGTCACCCGCTCACCGCGCAGTCCGGTTTAGCCAACTACGCTAGAGAGCCGGGCATAATTTAATTTGCAATATGGATCTCAGATTGCACTGATAACGTCGCTTCTAACCATTGTAGAATACGGGTGCAGTTAGGAAAAACACTCAAATTGTAATTGTTTTCCCATTGTTTATGTGAAGTCCCTAAAACTAAGATTATCATCGTATAGCAGGTTATTTGCAGAACGTCGCTCTCATCACAGTCTGCTTGAAAGAATCTCGCTCTCTCTTCAGCTCTTCCGCCTCGAGTACTTCAATATCCAGTTAGACAGTTAGATCATGTGCCCTTCTTCGTATTGGTCTGCCTCTGCCTCTCCTTCCTGGTACCAAACTTTATAATTTTTCCCCAGTCCACCGTGGCGCTTGATATGGTCATATCATCTCAGCTTCCAAGACAAGACGCTGCTTATTAGCCAGTCTTTCTTGATGTTAGGGCCTTTTAGAATGGTCAGTATTTCTTGTCTTCTTAGTCCATAGTATTCTGAGAATCTTTCTATAGTATGTCAGCTGAAAAGTACACATTTTCTTCCATAAGGACTGGGAGATAGCCTATGACACACATCCGTGTGTTGCTACAGGGGATAATCTTTCTCTCAACATTGTAAACTGGATTTCATTACTGCTGAACCATAGACATTTAATGCTGTTTTAAACCCCAAGACAATACCCTGAAACCATTAAGTATCATCAACTAGAAAGACAGATGAACTGAGGAAAACGGTATCTACAGCAGTGAACCTCAAGGGCTTGGAATGCTGAAGAAAAAGAAGACACTAAAAAGTCTCTCAAAGTATGCAGAATTTTTATTACCAGTTTTAACAAGAACTGGTACCAGGCTTCTTCTTCTTCTTTTTCTTCTTCTTCTTCTTGGCTTCACCGGCTTAAACACCGGTAGAAAGGTATTTTGTTCATCTACTTCTGGATTTAAGTCTTGTACCATAATTTTAGTTTTCGTGCCTCTCTGTTTTACAGATCTGGTTTATGTGTAAAGAGACAGTTGGCACCTCGCTTCTAATGCAGATGCACTCTGACTTCGAAAGAAACACCCATAGATAGTCGACTTTCACGACATGCTTGTGGCAGTGAGTCTATCCCTTCTTTTTCCCCACAAAGGGGCCCCGCCAACCGCATTGGGAGTTACCAGACAATTTTTAGAATTGCCCTTAAAGGCAACAAGCAAGGAAACTGACCACCACTCGTTGTCTTAAATATGTAAAAACTAAAATCTTCACAACTCAACGACAATAGCTGACAATATTTACATTTTACGTAACATTTGTAAAATAAATAAACAAACAAATAAAGAAATAGATAAACTAATGGCACAAAATAGGTGCTGTCTCTACAGTGAAGGTTGATTACATACAGGGAACTCACCCCTGCCCTTCCAAATCTCAGAGGCGAGGCTCTAATCTCGTCTACAGTGTGACTCTCGTACTATTGTCTGACAACAGCTAAAATGGATTTATGTTTATAGTCCACCGCGGAAATTGACCTATATTATGACAAGTTATGAAACTGTAAAACGATTTTCACTTAGACCCAGAGCCAAACTGCCATACAAATTTATACGCGACAGTTAATTAGTTCACTTGTTGTGTTTGTTTCAGGACAATTTTCACAAGCTACCAACTGGATGAACTGGAGAAGGCATTCAAAGATGCACACTATCCCGACGTGCAGACCAGAGAGATACTGGCTATGAAGACAAGTCTGCCAGAAGATAGAATACAGGTATGTGTGTTAGTGTCTGTGTGTTTGTGCTTATCTATGTGACAATATGTGTGAGTAATATTTTTTTTTTTGTGTGTCTTTCCGTCAGAGTTCTGGTGTCCCATTTTAGAGAAGGAATAGGGGGAGAATAGACCGCAAGTATGTCTTAAAAGACCACTAATTAGGAGTTTCCTGAAATCGGATATGCAAGGCCAAAAGGCGCAGATATCGCATCCTAGATGCAAATCATAACACAAGGTTTAAGTTAGCTGCGTATCCTATACAGGACTTTGTAGACAATTTTCAGCTTTTCTATGTAAATTTTACGTATAGTAGTTGGCAATTGCACTGAACGGTCAGCTCGCGTTACCACTGTTGAAACCAACGCAAGACAAACTGTTCGTAGCTGCTATCGAACCTGCCACCCCGGCATTATGAAGCTAGTTCGCAACGCCTAAGCCACAGACTCCGACCAACACAAGGAACCAACCTTTAAAGAGAGAAGTCAGAAGAAAAAATGTGTAGTCGTGTGTGTGTGTTTGTGTGTGTGTGTGTGTGTGTGTGTGTGTTCAAGCGATTGTTTCTGTGCACAACGCAGGCCAGTGTGAATATATGCGTATATGTAAATGTGTGTATGTAAACTTCTTTAGGGTTTACATTAGTGTATGTGAGTGCGCGTGTGTCTGTGTGGCTAAATGCGAGTGTGAGTAAGTATGTCTGCATGTAAGTCGGTGTTTCTGTGTTTATGTGGATTATTGTGTGTATATGCGAGAGTCTGCATGAATCTGTCTCTCCGGGAATGCACGCGTGTATGTGCCGGGGAGAGGTGTATTTGGGTGTTTTGTGTATGTGATTGAATAATTGTGCTCTCAGGATATACATTGGTATCTATGCATGTTAATGTGGGTGTATGTGTGTATATATATGTATATATATATATATATATATATATATATATATATATATATATATATATATATATATATATATATACCATTTTCCCTTAAACTAGACATTTTTCAAATCAAACCGGACGATTTTCAAATCACTGAGGACTTTTTTAAAATCAAAATGGACCATTTTCCAACCACTCAGGAAATTTTTTAAACCAAACTGGACAAAATGAAGGACATTTTTAAAATTCCTAAATTTGATGATACGCTGGACCTTTCGAAATATTCTTTAACACACATTATGGAATTCTTTCAGTTGAACTCTGCCCTCTCCTCTATTTTTTAACATAAGTCTACATGTGATGACATTATGGGAATAACCTACTAAGTTCTGGAAGAGATGCTTGTGTGGAGTCCAGCCTTACAATAGGGTACGTTTTTCAGTACATGCGATGGATTAAAAGTAAGAGGAATAGGAAGTTGGGGAAAGCGTAAATGCCCAACGCCATTTTGGGAAAATATTAAATTTTGATCATAATGATGATTGTTGTGAAAATTACGATGACGGCAGTAATAATACTGATGTCGAAGCTTTATCAAGAAGATAATTATTATATCAACACTGCAAATCTTGAAAGATCACATGCTTTTCGAAGCACTTAGTATAATAAATGATACACAGCTGGCCTTTAGAAAACCATAATCTGTCTAGAGTACTGTATCAATTAAGACCCCCCCCCCCCCTCCCCGTGAGGGTTCCGGGGCCCCATTGTGTGGAAAACAAAAATAGACCCACTGCCTCCCCAAAAGCATGTCGTAAGAGTCGACTAATTTGGGCGCTTCCTTTGAAGTCGGAGTGCATCTGCCGGAGAGGCAAGGAACCAACAGTCTGTATTCAAGAGAATGAGATCTGTAAAACTGATGCACACGCAACACTCAGGTTCTGGAGCAGGACTGCAGTTCAGTAGTGGACGAGCAACCAGAACTTTCCGCCAGAGTGTACAGCTGGTGAACGCTAAGAAGAAGAATTACGATCATCTTCTTTATGTTTAATATGTTTGAATGTGTGGGTTCTGGGGTCCCTTTATGGGGAAAACAAGAACAGACCCATTAAAACACCCCCCCCCCCCCAACCCTCAAGCCTCTAACAAATATGTCGTAAGAGTCGACTTATTTGCGATGTTTCCTTTAAAGTCAGAGTGTATCTACCTGGCAGACTAGGAACCAACAACTTGCATAAAAAAGGACAGATCTGATAACTGATCTGCACGCAGCACGCATCTTCTAGAATAAGACCAAAGAAGTCCAGAAGTGCACGAACAAACTGAACTCTCCGCAGTTTGTAGCTGATGACGTTAAAGAAGAAGATGTTTAAAAGACGGTTTTAAAAAATGCAATCTTTTTGTCATCCTTTGACATATTGCCTAGTCATCTAATTATAGAAATGGTTGAGTGTCATCCTGCCGTTAGAAATTATTCAACTTGCTCAGCAATGTCTCTCTAAAAAATGATGAATTAGACATTTAAATTCCAAAGTTATTTTCACACTGGCTCGTATATCATTCTCGGATTCATTGACACTGGTACAAGAACCATTAAGTGTGAATAACTTACCACCAGCGCTTTTTTCTAGTGGTACGCAACAACGTTAAGTACCGGCATCTTATTCTGAGGCATCAGATTTTTAAAAATCACCTTCACTGTAATAGAGACATTTTGGTGAGCACTAGTGCCTTTTCTCTGCTCTGCGTTGACTGTTGAAGATGAGGACGGAGCACGCCTGGGAATGCCCCGAGTGCTGTGATGTCAATTTTTGACTCAACTCAACTCAACTCACATTCTTTTTCTACATATTTGGGAAGGGGGAGAGGAGGATACCGGCACCTTTTTAACATATTTCCGTGAATACTCGCACATTTTGAGGCACTTTTGTATGCTTACCAGCACCTGTTTTTTCTAAAACACAAGTTCTACTCACCACTAATGTTTGGTCCCGCTCCTTGACCCCTGACCTCTCCTATTATACAAACTCCCGTCTGTAAATGGTGAATTAACAAGGAAGCAGATTATTAACTGTTGAAACTATGCTTAGTGTGTAGTTTGGCAACACAATTTGGGCGTATATCAGGATACGCGATGGCTCAAAATAATAGAAACCCTAAGTTATCCAACAGCAAAACCCCTATTCTATATTTTGCAACAAAATTTGGGCGATGGTTCAAAGTAATAGAAACCCCAAGTTATCCAACAGCAAAACCCCTATTGTATATTTTGCAACAAAATTTGGGCGATGGTTCAAAGTAATAGAAACCTCAAGTTATCCAACAGCAAAACCCCTATTGTATATTTTGCAACAAAATTTGGGCGATGGTTCAAAGTAATAGAAATGCTAAGTTATCCAACAGCAAAACACCTATTGTATATTTTGCAACAAAATTTGGGCGATGGTTCAAAGTAATAGAAACCTCAAGTTATCCAACAGCAAAACCCCCATAGTATATTTTGCAACACAATAATGATAATGACAGGAATAAAAATAATAAAATTGTGATGAAAATTATGTTGATGATTGGGATGATACTAATGTAGCACTGGTATGAACAACATTATTTTATAACCACCACAGAGGCTAACCATAGTCTGTGTGTTCAGTATAGGGATGTTAAAAACAACACACGCACACACACAAATGTTGTGTATCTGTCATAGATTGCTAGAATCGTATTTGTTTCGACCAATCGGCACTCTGTTTGTGATGTGGTAAATATGACGCCAGCAGCCTTTGCTTTCAAGAACATTACCTGAATCGTATTTTAGACCGGAACAACATAAAAGTCTAGGTCAATGTTGAAAACGCCGACTTGATGTGGATTCGAACCCAAAGCTATCGGACCGGCAGCGAAGCTTCTAGTAACTACACTACCACGGATTTTATTCCATCTGAAGTAGAGCTCTGATATTCGCCATTAATCAGTTTCTGAGTGGAGGAGGAATATTGAAAATTACGAATACCAAAAGAGTTTTTCTCACTGGAAATAACTTCTTTTTCTCAAAGTCCATGCTGTGTGGCGTTGATAGTCATGTCTGTCCACAACCTTCTGTCTCGTGCACGTTCAGTCAACTCTGACACGAGTTGAGTTTAGTTAAATTGAGTCAAGAATTGACATCACAGCTCTTGGGGCATTCCCCTGCGTGCCTCGTCCTCATCTTCAGCAGCCAGCGCAGAGTTCCAATTCTGATAGTACCGGTCACAATCTGGTTATATGTCCGTCTTGCCTTTTCTCTCAGTGCTGTGAGCCAGCCAGACCCTTTAGTTACACCCAGGTGTCTCATTCTCTCCAGGCCATAATAATCTTGTTTCTCTACTAAATCCCCTGCTTGTTGTCAAAGGGTCTTGACCAAATCTGCCTTATCATGTAATCATTCACCATCCATTGGGGCAGATTCAATCTGTCTGCCTGTTCATTACCAACTACGCCGGCATAGCCTGGAGTAAAGATCCAAAGTATGCTCACTACCTGTGACCTTTCCAGTGAGGCTTGCCACACCGCTCTAAGCATCCCTGACACGCACAATTTTCCATGCCATAATGTCAGACTGCACAGCATATTGTTTCCTCCCCCCCCCCCCCGCCCCTTTTCCCTCCAACTTACCTGCTGTCACGATGTCGTCCAGTTTTCTTCTTCTCATCACATAACAAAAGAATGTAGGTTGTCTCTTACTGAAATGAGTATTAACTAAAAATGGATTAATCCGTTCCCAACCACCATTATTGCCCATCTTCTCTTTAACAACAACAAAATTACACAGAAAAAAATAGATCTCCGAAAAAATTGTAAATACATTTCAACTATACATTAACTTATGTTCTTATTATTGTATTATCATTGCGTCAGAGATTTATTGGACCTGGTGACTTAAATGTTATTTGCTCCTATGTAAATACAATTTTTAAAATGAAATGTACTTTTTGCATGAAAATACAATGTCTGTTGCTTGGAATGGATTCACTTTTAATTATGACATCGGTACTGTCACCCCTGTTGATTGATATCCTGATGATTCATTAGCATTTCCATACATTTGTCGAAGGACTAGTTTATATTGTTTAATGTTTCTAAATTGTTC